AATCTCAGAAGCTCCAGTTGAAGGTCCTCACTTTATTCAAAGATCTGGGAACATTTACAAATTTCCATTCCAAGTGACTGTACTTCTGTTCTTTTAGAAACAATATGAAATGTAATTACACAGGAAACAGAATGTTTCTTCATATACTCTGTGGCATTTGACTTATTTACTTCCTTCTCATATGGAAATTTCATGGTAACTGTTTTATCTATGAAGTTCTTCAATTGCTTCACTTCAGTGAGAGCTGCCAAAGGTCAACATTTTTCTAAATGAAGCCTTATAAACACTTAAAGTTCAGGTAACCATACGACCAAATCCTGGGATCTAGAAGCATTTAAATTCCCGCTTATTCTCAATCAGAGCTTGAGCAATTACAGAGTTAATCTGTCTATAGCTGAGGTTTACAAGTGGGTTATGTTGGATCTCCAGCCACTCTAGACTTCAGGTGGTAGCAACAGGCTCAGCCAGAATTTGTCTCATCTTCTTTGAGTTTGGCCTTCGCATTTGCTAGCTCTCTCTAGTGCACTTTATACGGAGATGAACCTTCAAAATATTTGACAGTCTCAGCTGCTGCAAGATATAGCAACATCTCCTGGGCAGGTAGCAGGAGTGGCACTCCAAAACCTGCCCAAGCAAACTTTGTGCTTCCAACTGAATTTTACATGAGTCTTATCAATACTTAAGTGAGTTTGTCCACATCACAGTGGAACATTCAACTCAACCTTCAAAGTACTAAAACAGACTTAAACCATCTGAGAAACTTGAACTAACAGCCCAGGTTCACTCATGATGGATGGAACTGGAGGCAAGACCATCTCAGTAAGGGGTCATCAACTGTGCAATACGCTTCTGAATGCAATTTGTCACAGCCTGAATCTCTTGACCCTCAGGTCACACTGCATGGGCCATTTGTTCTCCCTGACATTTCCTGGGAAATAGGAATAGAATTACTAATAGATTCCTCAGGGGAATACCTCAGTTTGGGAGGTATTTCGGGAGTCAAGTTACAGAAAAAGCATATTTCTTTAAAAAAAAAAAATTAAAATAAATGAAGATATGCATACTTAAATTTAAATTGATCCAAAATCTTTATGAAAAACTTGTGTGATTACATATTCCTTTTTCTAAAATTGTATTTGGCCTCCAAGCTGGAAAAATATCTTACTGATGGTCACTGATATACCAGTCTTTAAATAAATTATCTTCTCTTTATACAAATACATTTTTGGAAACCTGGTGTGCTGTAACTTCTCCATTTAGACAGCATTTCTATACAGTAGAATTAACTCCAGATAAAGTTTGAGGGTAAAGCAGAATCCATGTCTTTCTGTATGTAACTTACTACTCAGCTTTGTATCAAGTTTATAAACTTGTAAGAATCTACTGAGAGGACTTTGTCAGAAAAGTAAGAATATATTTTCCATTATTAAAAACAAAACAAAAAAATCCCAAACAGTCTCTCATTCCATAAAAATTACTCTGAAAAAGTTCCAACAGGAAGTTCAGTTCCAACTGAAAGCATCTGTGAAATCCAATTAAAGGTTCTACCAAGTTACAAGATTTTGAGTGAATGTCGGCATGTTAATCTATGATCCTTCAAATGGATTTGCACTGATGGTCTCCTCGCTATCTACTGGGTTTTGGGTTTCCTTCTGTGCAGCAATTTACTTCAGTTTAGTGAAGTAACTTGCAAGTGTAGAAATGATATGCATGTAATTAGAAACTTACAGTTATAGAAAATTACTAAATTGGTATCTCAGGAAGATGTTACAGAGCTGCAATAACTATTGTTGAATTATTTGTTTAACTGACAGTTGTGGCTGAGTAGTTCTCTGGATGAGAACTTGAAATTCAGGGACAGAAGGGAAACTGAGGCACTGCTGAAATAAGAGCTGTTGCAGCTGCTGAGCATATACTGGGATGGATCATAGGGCTCTGAGGTTGTCAGAGCCCCAGAAGAGGATGTTCTGAGATTGTGGAGCTGGCTGCTACGTAAGTCACAGCTATTGAGACACAGAAAGGGAGAGGGACCCTTGAAGTGTCTCCTTTGTGCTGTCCCTCGCTACTGATGTGGCACAGAGAGGCAGCATGTGACTGTCTCCCCAGACGGGGGGCCACAGTAGCTTTTAACTGTGAAAGTAAGAAACTTCAGACACTATGCAGTGGTTCTTTGCAGGAGGGCTGGATTTGGGCACTGGGAGATGGAAATGCGTGACCAAGCTGCTAAATGCATAACCTCTCTTCTCCATCCTCCATGTCAAGTCAAAGCCAATGAGACAGGGTGTGGTCAAATGTTCCTCCCTGCATCCAGCTGCTTGGCACAGTTCAGGGACTGGCATAGAACAGTCCTTTGTACATTCCCGCAAAACATTTTAATCTGTCCCAAAGACTCACTGAAATGGGTAAGAACTGGATATGAAAGACCTTAACATCAATGAAGGAAGGTAGAACCCATCTTCTATATGAAATCCACATGTTTGCATATTACTAATGTCAATGAGAATTGCTTAATAAAAACAGTCCCCAGTATGCTGGGTCATTCTGACAAACAGCAGCTTCCTGACCCACCAATACATCGGAATCATGCTGATATTGTGGTCTGGGCACCGCAACACATACTGGTTTCCTAGGTTTTATTTCACAAATTTTGTTCTAGTTTCAATGCTGAAGCCAATCACAGTTTTACAACCTCCCCATATACAAAAGTAACAGAAAAAAGATAAACCAAACACAAAAACACCTTAACAGCAATACACTGCTGTAGCTGAATGCTCCTGTCCAGATGTTTTCCTTTTTGTAAGTAGCATAAACGTCAAGTATAAACAGCAGGTCTGGTTTGGCCCCGCTCCTGTGGGTTTGGAAAAAGAATTGCTGCTGCCTGATTAAAAATGACCAGAGTTTTATTACAAGTCTTTTCCTTTCAATGCATCTATTACCAAATGATGCACTGGGCTAATTATCTTCAGGATACAAAGTGTCTCTCTTTGCCACCGCCGAAAACATGAAAAAGCTGAAAGTCAACCCTGGTAGAAGCTTTACAAAACACAAACTATGAGCAATTTGACACAATTCTACAGAACAAGTATCATGTGAGTCTACACACTACTCTAGAAAACAGGCAGAACTTGATATATTTTTTGTTAAACCACGGCAATGGGAACGGAGAAAGCACCCTGAAATGCTCATCTGTTAGACATTTCTATAAATTTCACATCAATGTATTTCAGCTTTCAGGAGAGCATCTGAGATAGGTTTGTCTTTCTCTCACATGCAGCTAGCCTCTCATTCTGAAATCTGATTCTAATCTCCCTCCACAATCTGAAAAGCTACTCCAGAAAACAAAAGAAAACTACTCTTTCTTCCACACTGCATTTAATTTTCAGCTGAAAATACAAACATTGAAGAGATACAGGAATAAATCCATCACAATTTAAAGAGACTATATGTTAGTTAGTCTGACCCTAAGCTCCACCCTTTCCACATTGAAGGTCTGAATGTGTGCCTGAAGTATTACGTACTGAGATACGGCTGTGCCATAAAATGTTCTTAAAGAGAAACTACTCTAAGAATATTTCAGTTATTGCAAGTATTTGTATTCAAGTATTATTTTAAACTTGCTAGTGCCATCCATGCTCTGGGCCAGCAGACTGTTGCACAAGAGTGAAGTTCTGTCACTTTCTTTTCCTGCTGTGGAAGGAAAAATAGCACCTTAAGTTTCCCCAAACTGTGAAAAGCACTTGAAAAAAAAAAAAAAAAAAAAAAAGATTGCTCAGTGTCTCACTGGAACAAGAATAAAAATAAAGCAAAGGATGTAATGAAAGGCAATACGGTGTGAGGGAAAAGACGAGAAAACCACAGAGAAGTTCATCTGAGGCTAGGATTGACAGGCAGGGCTCGTGACTGCTTTCTCATTCTCTTCTGCTTGTTGAAATCTGGTAGACACTTTCCCTCTTACAGTACTATGTGGCCATCAGTCCCACTTGCCACAGTCTAAGCTTGTCCATCTTCTCCCACCAAGGTTGTATCCAGCATCCAGCTTTGCTGTGGAGCACTGAAGGAGATTTCCAGAGCATTCTTCCTCTTGCTTTGGGAACTGATATCCTCAGTATAACATACAGTGCTGCTTAGTGTCAAGATACAACAACCAGAGCTATTTTCACCTTTTCAAGACTACTGGCTTTGTAAAGACATGAATGCCTACTAAAATTAAGACAGGATAGTGAGCCCCACTAGGTCTGACTGGCTTCTGCTATCCCAGAGCAGGGCTCTCTCAGGCACAAGTCACACTGACCTTTAATTTTGTAGATAAGAAGAGAAAAAGGTAAAGCTACAGAATGAACTATCCAGGTAACTGCTAGGCAAAAGGAGTGTGATTTAAGTAAGCTGCATGTTAAGTAAGCAACATGTCCAAGTCCAAGGTCATAACTGTTTATAGGAAGAACTTCCTCACATCAGCACGAGAACAAAATGCTACTTATGAACTACACAGATTTATGCTTTGCTCCTCTTATGCAACTGACAAACGAGAAAGCTTTGTCTTTTATCTCCATTCAACCAACAAGAAAATCTTTGGTAGGGAAGGCTGTTCCTTGAATCACCCAAGGATCTTTTCTCCCTGCAGAAAAATTGGCTCCAAAACCGAGAGGTGAAAGGTCATTTTCAGTCTTGTCTTCAAAACTAATGAGCAATGCTGGTGCGTTTTTTAGTATGCAGCTAAATAGCCAACCCCATCATTTTCACAGACAGAAATCTTCTAAGGAAGATACTCTTTATCTATATAGCAACCACTCCAGACAAGAAGTAAGCACACATTTTTAATATTATTGCTTATTGCAAAGCATTCTCCTTGATGGAAGACTACTTTTTCTACCAATAGTAATTAACCCTAATTTAATGCAGTTTCCACAGTTTATTTCATCCTAGTCTATTATAATATCGACCAGGTATTTCCTCATTTAAGTCAAAATGCATAGGAGTAACGTGAAGGAACATCCACCTACCATGAAAAGGGCTTCATAGTTTTCAATCATCTTTTGTACAACAGCTATGATAGCAGTACTCTCTTCAGCTCGAGCTGAGCTCTGAACTGAGAATTCTTTGTCTGTAGATTTCTGCTTGTGCAACAAGTTAGGGCCAAAGATGGTAGCCAGATTAAGTGAAGTCATTTTGTTCCCAGTAACCTAGAAAATAGAGTATTAATGGGGTTAGGTCTCCCAGGGTCTAATGTATACAGATTTGTATGTACAGACACACATTTACACACACACGAGCGCACCCGCCCTGCCATTTGGCATACAGTTCATTCATCAAAGCCAAAACCAAGTGCTAGTCAAATAAAAAATGAAATAAAAACATTTAAATACTTTGGCCATCTCTGCAACAAGCACTGTGGATTTTCTGGATATATCTTGAAATGGATTGGAGGAGTAGAAGGTGGAACAGTTGCCTGCTCTTAATTCCCTGGAAGCTCAGCAGTGGCATACTTCTGAACTCAGGGAAACCTCCTCCTACTTCACCATCTCAGCATACTACTGTCTCTTAGGAACAAACAGTGAAAACTGTTAGCTTTCTCAAGTAGCACTCATGATTTGAAACAGATATAGTGAGGAAAAACATACTTTTCCATGTTTAAACAGTTCAGATAATTAAGAAGGGTGCTCATTACTTTTATTAGTATTTTCCTGTCTTTTTGCTTGTTTCCTAGAACATGCCAAATGTTTACTTGCTGGGTGATTATTGTGTTTTGTTTTGTTGCATTTTTACTTTTTTTTTCCTACTTTTAAAACTCTATGTTCAAAGAAGCAATAGTAACCTGATTTTGGAGGAATTAGAAGGCCAGGAATACATACCAGACTAGATAGAAATTATCAGAAAAATATGTCATATAGATTATTAAACAAAAATTTTAATTGTCATATTTGTGATTAGACTACTTTTCCCCCATTCTGTTCTTTTAACAGAGCAAAAACCAGGGGTCATGTGCTTCCTCTCTGTGTCTCCACTTGGTTACTATTCTGGGAATGCAGAAGAAGTCAGCAGTTTGACCATATAAAACTGTAAGTGAATTTCAGCTGTTGACCCAGTATTTCTTGTAGGCTATTTTTTAAAGAACAACAAAAAAAAAGTTATTTTTCATTGTTTCAGTTACCTTAGAACTAATTAATTTTTGAAAGAACAGAAAGAGGCACCAAAAAGAGGCAGTAAAAGTAGCATTTGAAGAAATGAGCGGTACCAACCGAATCTTTTCAAAGTAGTATTTTAATTTTCTTTTGTAGCTGGTCATTTACTGAATACTCCAGTCAAACTTACAACTGCACACCGACTGCACCTAGTTTATTTTTTACAGAGCTCAACTAGACAGCATAGAGATGGTACTAAAAAGAGCTTTTCCTTTTATTGGTAGGGCCACTGTGTAATCTTGGAAAGACATCTGCACTAAGTAGGTGCATGAGCAGTCATAACAAACATGTTGGCTCTTTGTTTAGAGACTCATCCCAGCATGACTGTGAGTACAGCACACTCCCTTATTTGTGCACCACCACGCACCTGGCTGTTTTTTCGGGTGACCTGCTTCTCAAATACTGTCAGAGTAGTGAGCCACCAAGGATGCACAGGCATGCAGTGTCTTGAGTGTGCCAGGAGCAGCCTCTGGCTGTGCCTGGATCTGTATGTGCAGGCTGTTCGTACAAACAGTGAGCCTTTTCTTAAGGGCAGCCTCGGGGCATCCCTTAAAAATTTAATCATATCCACTGAAATTAACTGAATGAGTAATTTTAATAAAGTTAGTCATCCATCTTCATGTTCATAAGAGAAGGGCTTTTGGAAGAAATTGTGAAGAGGGCCTGTGTGCCAAAGCTTGGCTGTTTTCCTTCCAGTGATAGCAAACAGTCTGATATAATACTTTCTCTTGCCCTGTATGCTTTTATTCACTTAATTATTCATTAATAGCATAAATAACTGTGAACAGAATACTGTATAATCTATAAAAGGTAACCAATTGCACACGGTATTCCTCATGCTTACAACAGAATCATAGAATCATAGAATCACAGAATCATTAAGGTTGGAAAAGACCTCAAGGATCATCAAGTCCAACCATCAACCCACACCACCTAACTCACTAAACCATGTCCTGAATACTGCCAAGACAGCTTACACAAACTTGCCTAGCCAAAATACCTGTAGCAGAGCTGATGTACTGTTAAGGGGAATGTAAATGCCTTTAATACAACTGTTGGGCCAAACCAACTCTTTTAGGCAGCATCCTCTAGCCCCGCAATTAGATCCTCTTGGGTACATTCCTGAACCCACAGTGAACTCTTTGCGGGACCAGGGGGACCACGACCTTAGCTGGCTTATACATGCGATGTTTTTAAGCACAGTACAATTGTTACAGGCTGCTCTTTTTAAAAGTTTTCCATCATAGTGGTGTAGTTATTTATCAGCTCCCTGCTGAGGACAAAAACAATAGCATTTAAAGTGGATTTAAAAGTGAAATAGGCCTTGAAGTCACATACAGCACATTGGAAGTTAGGACTTGAGGCAGAAATTCGGCAACACTCAGTCTCCAAGTGCCAATTGTTAAGACCAGCCAGACCAGCAAAAGGTGTCAAAATTTGACAGAAGTGAGGAGGGTTTTCCAACTGGAAGACAAAATTCTCTAGGACATTCAGAAGAGTAACTTAGAAGTAACTTCAGAAGTAGTCTCTGCTCCAGTTCTGAAGACAGAGAAACCCTTCACACAGATAAACTGGTACAATTTTGTTAAGCAGTGACAGACTGTATCCATCTCTTTCAAAGTTAACAGAGTTGATGCCTTTTGCAGAGCAGCTCTCTAGTTCAAGCATTTTCCTGGCAGAAAATGGGAAGCCTGTATTTTAAGATCTTCTCTAGTTTCAATGGCTTGGATGCACACATGTGAATGCTCAGAAGTACAGCTCAGCTACACGGCTATGGGTGTTCTTGTCTCTATGGGACAGGTGCACTCCAGACTCTCCACTGTATTTGGTCCAGAACGTAACAGAAAGGAGGCCAGAAGGCAAACAGGCAAAGATGGACCCTGCCTCCAATCAGTGATTGCACTAGTGATTGCACTCCAACAGTTGCAAGGGCACTGCTGTAATTCCTGTCCTTTATTTTTATTCTTCACTACCTAGAGCATAAAAGGAAGCTAAGGGAACCAAGAAGTGAGCTGCTGTGTCCAAAGGTCATATAAGAAAACAACAGTAGAGAACAAAAAAGAGAATGAAGAAGTATACTCTTGAATGCCTGACACTTTCCTATGTAGGTACTTTTTCTATAGAACATAATAGGATAAAACAAGGAGGGAAAAATTATGGATAACATTAGATATGCCTAACAACAAGGTTGATTATGCTGCGAATCTCCCAAAGGAAGTGGTAGACTCTTTACTGATTAAATCATACAAAAATTAAACTCTCACAGCCCTAAGGACATAGTAAACAACTAAATGGCAAATGTGCAGGCAACAATACGGCATCTCTCCCATCTTTCAGGGGTTTGTTTCACAGCTTTAAAGATCTCTTTTCAGACCACAAATTAAGCAAAGTCAAAGGACACAAGTGACCGGGACTTACCTCTTGGCCATCTTTGTCTGTGGTGTCTTCTGCGTGGCCAGCCACTGTGGAGAGGAACTGCAGGAGCCGGTGTAGGGTATCGCAGTTACAGGGAGGTAGAAGATAAATGAGAAGCTGTAAGGTGCTTAGCTGTTCATCTGGCTCTAATACTAAGAGGGGAAAAAATACATTCTAAGAAAATCACTCCAACTAACCTAAAAGCAAAACAAATATACTGTTCCCAGTCCAAAGGAAGGTGTAAGAATAGATTTGTTGAAGGACCAATTTCCTTATAATGTCGTAAGCAAAAGAGAAAACTCAAAGGAAATATCAAAACTGTAACAAATGCTGTTATGGGATTTTTGCCTTGGTTGGTCAACATTTTGCTCACAGGTTAATAACATCTTTCCTCAGAGATGAGGAAAAATTTATGTTGCACACTCCATCACTGTCACTGGACACAAAAATCCTGCTTAATTTTCCACTTACTCCATTCATTTAGGTATAGCTACTGGTATATAATGGGCACCACTGGGAACAATTCCAGTCAGGTTTATGCTTGAGCCATTTCAAATGGGTTTTCTTACAATTTCACATCTTGCAGTACTGGGAGACTGGAAAAGCAACTAGAGCTATAAAGGATGTCCTGCAACCACCATCACTTTAACCTTCCAAAATGCAATGGCAGCCAGTGACAAAGGTGGGACAGAGGCAGGATCTTGGATGTGAAGGCTAGAAAGAGGCTGAAGAACACGTACCAGGCAGCAGCTTAAACTTGAAGGCTCCAACTTTACTTTTTCACAAATCTGTGAGAGTCTGCACTTAGGTCTTAGGCAACACATTTGGGAGTACTTAATACAGTGGCTTTGAGGACCGTTAACTATGATGAAACTTGAACTTTTGAAGCTAGGTTTTTTAAGCCACTCTGCAATTTTGGTCAGTGAACAGCTCTAAAAATTAAAAGCATTAATAGTGCTATGATACCAGGATTCAAATAGGGGTCTGTCACCTGCTACTGCTGAACAGATGACAGGGTCAGGATTTAATAGATAACATGAATCACATCCTATATACAAATGCAAAAATAGGTATAATAAGTGAAATCTCTGTTGTTCTAGTTTTCTGGGCTATATTTACACAGTATGAAAACCAAGACCTCATCAAATTTATACTATCCAAATATTTGGAATAAATCAAGGCTAGAGTATTAAACTAATAGAAAAAATAATATGGTTAGTAGAGATTAAAGAATTCAATCAGATAAGCTTTTGAAAATCAGTAAACCAAGATGCAGCAGAGCTCACAGAGAGTGTTGATGAAAGGTGTATAAAGTTCTCTGGTGAGAAGTGGGTCAGGCATGTCACGCAGAAATTCCTTTAATAAAGCAGCAACATCATGAATGCTGTGCTCTTCGTCTAATACCACATCTACACCCCGGTCAAACTCTTCACGTAACTGAAAAAGATCATGACACAAAACCGCAGTCACTTATTGTCCCAATTAGTACAACCTAACACAGAAAATCTTTTAAGATGTAGATTTACTCATTTTCACTTTCCAGATTGGACATGACTAGTTTTAAGGTCAAAAATATAATTCATGTCTAATTGTTGCTTATTTCATGATACATAACTTAAGGTTTGTACCGAACTCTAATAAAATACAATTCTTTCTTTCCAGATAATATGTGGCACTCATTTATGAAAAATGTGCCCAAGTAAATACAATTTTTGCAGAAATAGAAGATTAATATTGAAGGCAGAAACCAGGGAGAATAAGGAAAATTGCAAGAAAGGCTTTCTTATACCACTTTACTGCATTATCCCTAGATTTTAGGACCAGAAAGACTAAAACTGCATTTCAGAACATTTCTGATTTTGTACAAAAACATTGTTAATAAGACAATATTAAAATCCACCAAACGCACATTTCTCTTTTGATTTAAGAGAAAATGTATGTATGTAAGCATAAGCAGTAAGCAGCCAGGTCCAATAAGACTTCATGGCATTTGTCCACACATATCTTGTTCTGCTTTCCTAATTTAGTTATATGCACTAAGTGATCACCATTAGGGAGTTAACAAACAGCAAGCTAATACCATTAGGCGGTACTGCTATTTTGTTCCAGTTCCAGTCCTTAGACAAATTCTGTATAACTCAAAGGCATGGCACTTCCCAAAGGCAGAAAAAAAATCCCTTTCCCACATCCAATATGCCTTATGAAACGATAAAAGCCTGCCTTTCTGGAGAGATTTCCCAGCACCAACAGCAGAATACTTTCTTCATGCTGAGAGCTCCACCTTTTACTCTCATTTTGAAAATAGTCAAGATATTTTAAAACTATTTCCTAGGAAAATTTCATATTTTTGATAATATTATGAAGTATCATGAGCTCATATGTATCTTCTCAAAGAGTAATTATATCTAAATCTTACTAAACAAGAGGAAATTTGAGGTATCAGCTTTCTTTACCAGGATTATTGCAGACATACTAAAAAGAAGAAAGAAGGTAAATCATATGCAAACTATGTGTTTGTGATAATCTGTGGCAAATCTTGGTCATAGGCAAGTCTATCTTGAGTGTGTATAGTGTGGAGGAATGTAGAAAATCCCATATTTTCATCTGAAACTGTGCTTTCATAACAGGTCTGAAAGGTATTCTATAAAAACTACAGCCTCCTTTCTAATTTATTAAGACTGCTTTTAGCATTATTAATATCAGTCATTAATAATAATGAATAATTATGCTATGAAGACCAGAAATTGTTCTTTGTCTAGTATTATGCTTTCCCCTGCTGATTTGTGGTCAAACATTTTCCCATGCCAACCTGAGGATTTCATTCCCAGCTCAATTCTACTCTTCAGACTGGTGGCAAATGGAGCACATCCCTGTGGAGCACCATAAATTACCTCTATCCAGGAGGTGCTTCTGCACTTACTGCCCAAAAGCAACTGAGGAAACAGATTAGCACTGCATCAGGAATTCAGACTTCCCACATAGCTGCCTATATCATAAATTGCCGTTACAGCCTTGAACATGGCACTTCTGATCTGACACCCTGTGAGGCCTACAGAGATGTCCTAATTAGCACAATATCAGATAATCATTGGTGAAACACGGCCATGTGTCAGGCCCAGGTGTCATGGCTGTTAAAAACTCTGTATTTCTGAGTTTAATCTTTAGGTCTCTCAGACTTAATTCACAGGGAATACTTTCAGGCTTTTGGAAAATACACCTGGTGAACTATAGCATCAACCAGAGATTAAGATGTGAGAGCTGAGGACATCCCTGCTGGGAGAGGGGATGGGATAGCATAGCTCCAGCCACATCGCTCTTCAGCCGCAGGGTCTGGCAGTTGCTTCAACTACAGAGCTGCTGCCAAGTCACCAGCCATAGCGGGCTGTCCACTCTAAGCTCAGCAACGATGCTCTGCTCAAGCATCTGCACAGTTCCTGGGCACCAAGCTGGTACCTGGAATCCTGATGTCCCAGACCTACCACCTTTAGTCAACACCAGCTCAGGAATCTTTGTCCTACACCCCACTGAATGTGAAGGAGGTTACTTGTAACAGACACACTTGTTCTAGATTTTCTCTTCCTGGTCACCAACCAAAAACCCCGCTGGCACATGTGTTTACCTCCTTCTGTATTTATTGCAACAAACTACAGTTGAAACGGGACATTATCTAACTGTGGGAAGAAGGGAAACAAAACTATGCCCACTTTCTACACAAGAAAAACTAATGAACAGTTGCAAAAGCACACCAAAATCTGAGCACCGGGTTTGGCTTTCCATGGTTCAGAAAATGAGTGGAATTTTAATTGAATCCAGACTTTCCCATGTGTTCATGTTGACAGCATTTATTATTGTAACTGCAAGGACTGAGATGATGCTTCCATGTTGTTTAATGAAATACATTAGTTCACCTAATTCAATAAATTAGTCCATGTAACAGAATACATAAATACCCAAATATCTTGATTTCCTCAGCTTTTGGAAACACAGTAAAAGAAAAACTGGTGAAAGTCATTGATGTTTGAAGTAATGCTTTGTTTGCAAGTAAATGATACAAGCCCTCTGCTTTTTCCCCAGAGGTATGATGCAATTGTACTCACCCCTGAATGGTAATGTATGTTTTGACATTTAAGCTTCTAAAGCAAATGACAGGCAACTTACTTTTGAATACTTTATCTAGTTCGGTGTTGATCTAACAACTGCCTCTGCAGGCCATGAATGTTTTTAGCTTTGTGTTACACCAGTCACTCAGCAATAGAGAGACTGGTAGAGAATAAGCTACAAAGCAGTAGGCTATACTGTCCTACCAGTCAGAATCAAGTCAGTTTAGCTATTCAAGGTAACTTTCCAGAACACCAAACATTATCCTGTGTAGTTTTTGCAACAAAGAACTATTACTTCTGGGATCAGATGCAGTCAAGCTTTTTTTTTTTCTTTTCTATTTTTTTCTTTTTTTTTTTTTTCTATTTGATTTTTTTTGTCTTCTACTTCCTGGTAGGGGTATTTTCCTGTAAGTTATCCCCTCTCTAAGCATCATGCAACCATTAAGCACTATTTTCTACTGCTCTAATTCAACATGTATTCCCAATTTCTGGGAACAAAAATGCAGTATCTAGGGCTGAGGAAACACCTACTTCTGACTTTGTCTCTGGAACCTAACTGCACACTCTCTTTGCTTTTTCAACATTTGGCTGAGACTAGGACTTGGATGGGTCTGCTTTGACCTTCAAGCTTAACAGGGGTAAAAGTAAGGTGATACTTGGGAGCAGCAATTTGAGGGTCAAAGAGATTGTTCTGTACTTGCATATTTTCTCATACTGTAAGTTTTCCAAAAAAGATTTACAGTTTGGGTTTACTTCGGGAGCTTCAGCTGTTTCTGAGATGCATCTAGCAGCCAAGATTTTTTTCTTCCCTACAGTGTAACCTTTGGAAAATTTCATCACTGTAGTCTATTTGGATCTCCAGCCCTGTGCTACTTCTGCAGAGCAAAACATACAGAGACTGTTAACCTGCTGAGAACCTGACAAGGATTTCACCAAATGTAAAAGATGACTGGAAATGGCCTGTTATGAGCCATCAGAAAAAAAACCAAACCAAAACCAGTGAAGTCACTGACCCACAAAGCCTGAATTTCACCAGGTGACAGATGGGGAGGAAATCACTTAACAGAAAGGAATCGGGTTTGTTTGTATGATAGCTGATGAGGGAAAAGAGTATCCATATCCACTCACCTGTCTTACTCTCTTTTTTGAGCTTCCAACTCTGAATATTCCTACTGTCTGGAGACCTGCAAGTGTAGCACATCAGACAACTGTTTCATTGTTTAATTTTCTGCTGAAAATTGCATTGAACCAAAGCAATATGGGCTATGTGTGTATACTTACAAGAGTGAAAAAAAGCCAATGTATTTCTCTACAAACTTGTACTTACCACGCTGAGACAAAACTCAGCTGTCTTGGATTAAGAAGCCATCCAGTGTAGTTCTTAAGGACCTCGCATCACCTGACCTGCAAAATGGCATCTTCATGACATTTCTTGTGATGCCATTTCAGTAGTGCCACTACTACTTTGTGAGGGACAGAGGTATGCAGAGGGTGAAGCACTGCTCAGCATTTGGAGGTGGCACTTCCAGGACTGACATCAAAGGAAACAGGCAATAAATTAACTAAATACTTGGGTGTTGAGCTGTATCTTTGGACACAGGAAGCAGCTGGTGTTTGTGGTTACCCGCTAGGTCTATAGCACCTGTCACCATAAAGCTGAGAGTTTCCTTCAAATGGACATAAGTAGGGCACTCAGACATATTACAAGAGGGAAGAACTCAACCTGGGAGTTGTGTGCAGTTTATAGGGTAGGAACAGCTAATATACAGAGGGAAAGCCATGAAGAAGGAAGTACCGTTGTACTTCAGGCAAAGTGCAGAAGGTGTGCCTCTTGTGTCATTTAGACTTAAAGTGATTTGGGAATGGGTATTGCCTGCTATTCCACAAGAAATCAGGTCAAACCTTCTTCTAGCCCTGCAGATACCACCAGAATATCAAACAAACAATAACGTGTCTGTTGAATGGACATGCTTTGCCGAGTAACAGAAACTGAAAAATCTGACAATAAATATCACCTCAGAGGTGACATGTTCTTTAGCAATGAGAATGTGAGTGGAAATTTTAGAGACTTTAGTGGCTGTGTACACAATGTAATTTTACACAGTTAGACATCTTTTGTAAAAAGGGTGATATTATCTATAACCTTTGAAAAGTTTATGGTCTAACAAAGGCTACTCTACAACATTCATTTTCTCTACTGACATACAGGAAATGTAAAATAACCTTGTAAAACAAATGCCATTGGACAGCCATGAGGGTACACTTGTTTGCTACAGATATGTAACTTCACAGTGGTGTTTGGAGTTGCAGATTTTCAGAGAAATTAGGATAGGGTCCTGCCTTTTATTTTTTAGTCTCAACATGATACCTGTCTTCAAATATTCTTCTGTCTTTGGTTAACAGAAAATTAAATTGATGGAGTAACATTTAGTAAACCCAGGAACATTGGCAGGGAATCATCTGAGATGGAGATACTCATATTGGGCAAAAACTGGAGGCTGGTTACCAATTCCTGCACAAACATACAGTATTTGTTTTACACTGAGGGTCTGCAGAAAGTCAAGCCTTTACAACTCTGGGACATGATCCCAGGGAAAACAGGGAAGGTGAACAAGGCCAGGGGCTTTTATGGCTAAAAACATAACCATTTTTTTTTGTCAGATAACATTCAAAATTATAATTTAAAGCATTAGTGAGAAACCCCTAGGTGATTCGCTGCTGAAAAATTGGCCTAAATGCATACAGGCAAATATTTTCAGAATCAGAAACTTGGTCCATCATATAGCCTGGAATGATGCTACAGGATCATTCCTGGAACAGAAAGTCTTCTATTATCCCTAAAGCCAATGAGCAAACAGTAGTGTCCGTCTTCTGCAATCTTGACATTTCTCAAAGTCAACCATCCCCATGACTTATTTTGTGAATGGCAGATTAAATTGAAAATTGAAGAACATCAGTATTTGCCCCAAATTATCTCAGATTATTGTGTCATGGGATACTACAGTGCACTCTTAGAAAATGCACCAAAAAACTTCATAAATTTTCTTTAAAAGGAAACTTTAATGTAAAGCAAATAATTTAGTAAAGAACATCGTATAGAAAAGAATCTTTCTTAGGACTGTGGGTTAAGTGGATTGAAAAATTTAACACAGATGTTCAAGTGACATAAAATCACAGTATCCAAGGGTACTCAGCTGGATGGCTTTTTTGGCTGATTCAGACACTTTTATGAATTCTCCAGACTCAGCTATCCTTGCTAAAAGGGACAGAATTCATTCATCTCAAGGTTAAACATCCCCACACTTACTTGTTAGCCATGGTATCTAATCTCTGTAAAAGGCTAACAATGACTCTCTTTCGCAATTTTCCTTTACATATTTGTAAGCAACACGGTTTTCAATTATGTATTGTAAAAGCTTAGCATTGTTGTTTAAATTGCAGTCCCTCATCTCCAAAAGCCTTTCATTCAGAGTGAGTAAATTATTTCCCTGTGGTCAAATTAGGTATCAAATGCATCATTTGGTGTTGCAGTTACCATTACTTAATGTTTTGTTTATTATCTGGCCATGTGATAACTCTGTCTCAATGTGGTCCAATTATTTTGGTTCTCAATAAAAATCTTTACAAGACACATTGGGAGAGATGTTGAACAGATACCTTGATTAACTATTGTTTCTGCATTACATAAAGCTGGTGGGAGGCTTGTGTCTGGATGATCATGAAGACAATATTCAGGAGAATATTGTCAGGAGTTTATAATTCCCTTTGGAGAGAGCAGGACTGAGCCTGAGCCTGGTCAGGAAGACTCAAGCCAGGGACAAACTGAGTAGCCTGCATGTAAGCCTTGTAGGGAACAGGAAAAAGCTTCTTGGAGCTTAATATAATTTAGCATGGGGATTTTTTCTTTCTCTGAGCCTCTATCTTCAAATGCTGTTTCTAATTAGCTCTTGCACTGTAGCATAAACAGCGAATTTAGCTCTTACAACTTAAGATCCACTGGTTATGAAGAATAACTCCAGGCTGACTGGCACATTTCAGACTTTCATTCTCAACCATGGGTAAACACACGGGGTGTGAAGAGCTGCTCCTACAGAGCTAAGCACTCCAGCACTAGATGAACAACCCTCAAGAAATGTCTTCTTTGTGCTGTATAGGCCAGTCTTCAAGCTTGTAGCACTGATTCTCACTTTGGGAAGATAACATCTAAGTAATTATTTGTGAGACAATATCTTTAGCAAGGGACAAAACAGAAGGGAAAGTGTCTGACTTTCAAAGATGTCCTTGCAATTGGAACTACACGCTTGCTTCTCAAAATACACATTTATTTATATAAAATAAAATGTAAAAATACATCTGCCACTCCTGGGAAAACGAAATATTCTTACCATGCTTTTCCAAATGCTGGCAGCAACTATCTACAAGCCGGGGAACCTGCCTGTAAATGGGGTTCAGGCTTAGTTTCTTATCTCTCGCCTTTTCTTTCTTGCTCTGGGCTTCTGCTGGCAAAGAGAGCTGTAGAGCCTCTAACAATCGTGACTGATTGTCATCAAGATCTGTAATAGAGTCCACAGACATCGCACCCTGTAAAATACACACATGAACAATCAGTACGGCTGGAGAAATGTAAACACTGCAGGACCTTATCTAACAAAGACTTTTGCCTACCTGTATTTTAAACAAACTAATATAAGCATACAATTTGCTACACAGTTTTTCTAAGTTAATGAAGTTATAATACCAGCGTAATGGATGGGAAAACCACAATGATACCAATGCTATTATTACCATACTACAAGGAATACAAATTAGATACTGAAAAAACTAAATGCTTTCCACTCACTCTGCACACCTTTTTATTGTTGTAAGCCTGCGCATACTGCAGGACAAGGATGAATCATGGTCTGTCTGTGCACTTCAGCAGTAGGATATTTATGTGCATGAAGATATATACACATTTCTAAACCTGATTCCCTACTTCTTCTGCAGCTTGGGCCACTGTATCTGAAGATGATGCAAATAGGTTTACAACCTTGCACCACATACAGTTAACTAGTAACACAAATATATACAATGCAGAGATTGAAATAATAACATGCTATTGTAGAACAAAGAGATGCCAGAGAAGTAGAGAGGTAATATTTTTTAGATAATTCTACTTCATGTAACTTAATATTTTAAAATCATCAGAATTCCAGTGAAGGTTTTGAAAACTATGTTTGGATTACAGCAACGCACAGAAGTTCAAGCAGTCTGTAAAGGATAAAGCAGCACAAGCAGCAGGAGGTTGATGGCATGTTTCAGTGTTCACACTTGAAAAATTAGATATTTTTTTTTCAAACCACAAGATTACCGTCACTTCAAAATGACCATTTCCCTCAATTGTTACTAAACTTACCAAGCAAAAACATTTTAGGGGACATCTAGGCTTATAAATAATAATCAAACAAAAAGAAAACTTTTGGTTTTAAACCTCATTAAAAGTCTCTATTGTAAATTATTTTCTTTCTTTCTGAAACAAAGGATACATTCTACCATAACATAAAATGTACTGCACAGGAATTCAGCATGGCATCCTAAGAAATAATGAGGAAAATGTGAATTCCTATTCAGAACTTTGCTGACAACTCTAATTTCTTAAAAGCATGCTGTTCTGATGACAGGTATTTCACAGACTGCTGGTGAGATTTCCACGTCTATTAAATGAGAACTATACAACTGCTAGAGAATTTCAAGCTCTAAAAGTATTTTCTTCCATCAGTCTCTAGACAACTGAACTTTACAAAGATTTCTGACTCATAGGCAACTCATACAAAGTCCACTGAGATTTCAAATTAATTTTAAAAATTTTAGTTCATAATATCTTTAAAGAAAAGCACCTAGTTTATCAGGTGTAGGTCTGTTTCTTATGTCTCATGGAAGACTTATAAATAAAACAGTGAAGTTTTTAGATTTTTTTGTACCCACATCTCTAAACAACTACTAGACCCTTTAGAATGCAGCTTTGACCTTGATTTCTGATGTCTTTCAGAAGTGCATTTGCTTGATTCCCTTTACCATTTCCTGCCGAAAGGAAACAAAAAACCCCCAAACCAAACAAGAATCTTTGACTATGATCCATGTGTTTCAAATTCCAACCAAACAATTTTTCTATTTTAAGAGTTTGGGGTTTCAGACATCAAAATTAGTTGAATGACACTGAAAATCCTAACACCATCCTCACCGCTGCAGCTGCCAGGCAGTTCCTGTACAACAGGTGCCCTTCTGTATACCCTGCCTTTACCGGTCCTTCCCTATCTGCAAAGCATCCTCACCTCATGAATCATTATCACAGAGTCACTTAAGTCGGATTCAGATCCCTAAAATAGATGCAAATACAGTCAGTTCACCATTATCCTTGGGCATTTTATCAAAATTGTGGATTAACTGGGGCACTGAGCTGGCTTTAGGAAGAGTGACCTTGAGTTCAGCGGCTGAAGTACAGCACTGCTTGGTGGCAATACCTACTCCAGGCCAGCTCTGGGTTTAAATTTCAAAGTGCACAGGAAAACACTACCAACATACTCCATGGATCCAGATTAAACTTAGCCAGACCTAGGAGTTTGGGCTCAGACAGACCTATATGAGGGCTGAGGAACAGTGTAGGAGATCATGCATGTTGCTGCCTGCTGCTCCAGGACTATTAACCCAGACACAGTGCTACTGGGACTGCAATGCCCAGCAACTGAAGAAAAATCAAGTTCCACCTCCTAGGCACTACCTAGTCCTAGGATACCAGTCCCTGCTCCACCATAACAAGTTCAAATCTAAATAAACTGGGCGAATCTCAAGCTAAAGCACATAGAAACATGAAGGAAAGTGGCGATTAAAGAGGAGAAGGAAAGAGCAAAAAGAAAATGAAGGCCAGAGGGACAGGTGTGAAATGAAGGTCAGATGAAGCTTTTCCTTATTTTTTAAGTGTTACAGAAGGCTTTTCTCTTTTGAAAAACATGACCAATATCATAGAGTATGCACGGGATCAAGTACTATCCATTGCAGATCCATTTCCACTCCATACATTATGCTATTTGAGCAGTAAAGCAGTATGACTGAGCTCCTGATACTTGAATAAACTTTGGCTGTATAATATATACGTAAGTACTATATTGACAGAGAGTCAGAATATTCTCTATAATAAGCACACCAAAATTGCCTTGCTGGATGACCAGGGTCTCAGCTTCCAATTGCTGAGCAAAAATCCTACGCAGAAAATGCAGCAGCAGTGATTTCTGTCTCGCTCTCGGAGCAGAGATAACCACAGCACTCATATCCTGAGCTCTGCAGCCAGCGTTACCTTGTATCTCCTACTGAAAGACTCAGCTGAGTGTTTGAAGACTCACTGGAATACGCAAAAGTGAATGACACAGTTGGAAAGAAGTGAATGGTATGTGATAACAATCCCTACAATTTAAGAGGACCGCACTCCAGGTGTCTGTGCAGCATTTGTGTGATTTGTCAGAGATCATATCACACTCAGTGAAAAGAACAGTAGATGATCCATATCTGGAGACATGAATTATCCTTCTCTCATATGAAAACAAGTTCTGAAGCCAATGGGTGTATAAGGTGAACCTCTATTTTTTTAATCACTGCCTATACCAAATTCTGAAAGAAATCAGCACATTTCCCCTCACACTTATATCCAAGTATACTTTGCACTTTTGTGTGAACACAACTGCCTGTTCATATGCTCTGCACAGGCCAACAGATGTTCATTATGCATATATAACAATGTAAACTTCTTCAAGTATCATGCACTCAGATTTCTGCAGACAGACTGTAGACACTTCAAGCTTCAGCTGACA